CTGAATTCTCTGCTTTCTACCTTCCTTTCCCCCTCTTCCTCTAAGAAAGCAAGAACAATTAAGTCCATTGCACATCTGCAGAGTCAAGCCAACTGATTCCCGCCTTGTCCATGCTTTGTCTGCCCTTGGGCACAGCTGCTGTATGTGGAGGAGGGCAGCAGGTCCTCACCATGAGTCCTTTGGAACTGTGGGTGCTCATTATGTTGGCTGGAGTCCCAAAGTCTTTCAGAAAGGTTTATCTCGACAGTATTGTTGCTATAGTATAAGTTGTTCAGCGAGCTGCATTCTTCCAGCTGTCTGTGGGGGAAGACTATGTCCGAAGGGGAGTGGGGCAGAGGGGGTGGCTTGGAGCAGGGAGGCGGGTGTGAATGTGGCTGGGGAGGGGCAAGCTCACGCCCATCACAGTCAGTTGTGGGGGTGGGGGAGTCCAAGACTGAGGTGGGCTGAGGGGCAATGTGGATGCTGGTCAGTGTGGGGGCAGACCAGACCTTGTGGAGAGGAGGTGGACAGGAAGTGGTCACCATCCGAGCTGCTCCCAGTGGAATGAGCCTCTTCACTGTAGGGAGTTCTTTGTCACTGTGGGGCTTTAAAAAAAAAGAGGCTACGTGACCACGTGTCAGGTATGTCATGGAGAGGACACACTTCAGATGGGGCATCTAGCTAGATGACCTCCGAGGTGCCTTCCGTGTCCATGATTCTTTTGTTGGTACAGATACAGTCTTCAAGTCACACAGCCCAGGGTTCAAGCCCCACCATTTATATACGCTGTCTCTGTGGTCCTATAGGTTCTGGCCTCAGTTTCTTCATGTATGAAATAGGGGACAGACCTGTCCTGCCTCTTCGATAGGGCTGCCATGGGCACCGACTCAGATGATGAATATACAAGTGCTTCGCAGGAAGCATTTTTGAAATGTGATCAATTTATTGTGACTCCCAGCACAGGTCCCTGTATTTTCCTGGTGTGGACATAAAACTGGCTCTGGAAAGCTCTGCCAGGGCCTGCCAAGCTGAACAGGCTTCAAGTATGGCCCTGGTGGGTCTCCAGCTCACTGGACAGAGCTCAGCCAACTAGAGCTGGATTCATTGTGTTGCTCTGTTCTAGTCCGGCTGAATCACGCGTCTGGCCTCCTGAGATGTAGAGGAAGCAGGTGGGGTCAGCCCCCGGGAAACAGCTCCTGTCCAGGTCAAGAAAGCACAGGTCCAGCATGCTTTCTAAATCTAAAGGCCCCCAATCTAAAGATGGGAAAACAAAGGCTGGCAGCTGCAGTCTCCTGAGGAGCCAGAAGGTGGCGGTCGAAAGGCGATCATTGGACAGAGAAGAGAAAGCAGCTTAGCCATCATTGAGGCCAAATCCTTCATTTTCTTTATTGTTAAACGGATTTGTTTTTATGTCTCCTTCATTGTCCCCTTGTGCTTCCTTAGAGAGTCAGCTCTTAACAAAGCAAAGAGAAGTGGATCAAAATTAATCAGTACGTGGAAAGCCTGACATTATCTATCAAGTCCCATGCCCAGTATTATTTTTATTTCTCTGTTTTTTAAAAATATAATTTTCTTTAAAAAAAATTTAAATTCCATAACCATTATGGCTAGCCTTATAGTAAAAATGTCCTGGGTTCAAGTCCTGCTATTAACCCACCCTGGCTGCATGATCCTGGACAAATCCCTGAGTCTCTCAGGACCCCCAGAGGCACTTCTCCAAGAGCAGAGGCTGCAGAACAGGGGCCAATCTGTGTGGGCAGAGGAGATTTCTGGACAAGAGTTTCTTACATGAGTGGAATCACCATTTGGTCTGGGCCAAAAAGACTGCCCCCAAACCTGTCAGCAAGACCAGTCACACAAGCACATGCAATAAACCAAGGCTGGCTCCATAGATCCCAAGTTGGAACATCAGTGGTCCATGCTTTGTGCTGGTCAGTACTTCCCAAGCTGACCTCAGGTCCCAATCTATTCATGCCTTAGAAGAAATCATGGCATACTTGTGTGGCCAGAAGCCCTCCTTCCCTCATGCACAGCCCTCTGTAGATGAGCCTCTGAATGCTGCCCTGCCCAGGCTGATCCTTAGGCAGCAGACAGAGTCCATCTCTGGCCTCATCACCAAGCCTTCCCATACAAGACCTTGTGCTCCACTAGCAGCACCCTTGAGACCCAGCGTCACCTCCTCACTACAGTGGGGCACAAGAGGACTTTGTCTGTGAAGGACACAAAACCCTAAATTCTAAATTCTTCCTATATTGTAGTGGACGCTTCCTATGTTTCAAGCTGCAGATATATAAGGGTCAGTTACACACATGCATATGTAGCAGGGGTATCATTCCTCAACTCAATGATAAGCCTCCACAGGGTCCAAGCATTCTGTGTAGATGACGAGAGAGGCAGGGAGGGCAGTTGATGGATGAGAGGACACTGGGAGAGAAAGGGTGAGCATGTAAAGCCTCAGTCTGCTTAGCCCTTCCTAGTGGCTTCCAGATTCTTCCCTTTTGTGTTGAGATGTTGGTAACCTGGTGGCCCCATTTCCCTTTGGGGAAGTGGGTCAGACTCTTCCAGTGCTGAAGGGGAAGCTGGCCAGATGCTCCCACCGATCCTACAAAGAGCTGGGGAGAAGCAGGCAGCAGAGGTGGTGCTGATGCTGGCTCCCTCACTGCTTGTCCCTGTTGATGCTATGCCCCTGAGAGATGCCACGGCTCCCTGTGCTTCCAGCTGAGCCTTGGCAGCACCTGCTCTGCTGGGGAGAGCTAAGGAAGGAGAGCCTGAAGCAATGGGAAATGGAATTTGGGGCTTCTTCCCTTCCCTGCAGCTTTGGGGGTTGAAACGGAGACTAAGTGACACACGTCACAAGGCTTTGATGTTGATGCATGTCTGAGGTCTGTTCCTCCTCTAATTAAACACGTCTTTAGGAGATGACCTTGACGGAGGTGAAATGATGAAGCCGGCACAAGTGACAGGAAGGGGAGGGGCTTGTCTTTGGGAGGTCTGTGCTAAGAGATTTGATTGGTGGGAGTGCAGAGCCCTCTAGGCTGGTGGCAGAACCTCAAGCAAGCCCAGCAAAGTGAGGGACACCCAGCTGCCCTTGGAGTCCTGACTGACAGAGACAGGCAACAGGGTCAATGCCCACAGCGCCCCCTGGTGGCTGCATATCCCTGATCGCCTTCTCCCTGCCCTGCTCAGACTCAGGATACCCCAGGCTTTTATGTGTGTTCATTCACTCAAGAAATACTTATTAAGTGCCTAATATATGCAGAAACTTGAGCTAGCTGATGGGGGAGATAGCCAGATCAGACGTGGTGTGTCCTCTCTGAGCTCATCACCTGGGAGGGGGATAACTCACCCATATTATAGTCTGAAATAACATACGCTTTGTGAATCAGAAAGGGGCAAACTTGCTGACTGAGGGGATCAAGGAAGACCTCCTGGAGGAGAAGGCATTCGGTCTGGACTTCAAAGGAGGAAGAGAAAGGCAGGGAGGCCACGCCATGTCTATTTCTATTTTTGTCCATAGATGAGGCTGCCCAGAGGCTGAGCTCTTGACCCCTCGCCCTGGCTGAGCCTATGGAAGCTCCTTTTGTCTTACATCCGGTGGTTTTCTGTGGCTCAAGGCTCTGATCCCACAGGAGGTGCAGTTGCATTTTCAGACTGACTTTGTCCCAAGAGGCCTGTGACCTGCAGTACGGGCTCCCAGCCTTCTGACCTTGGTGCAGAGTGGGTTCCTGCTGGGCCAGGGGCCACGTCGACCAGGACTCATAACGCGAAGCAGAGCCGGACTCTTGAGGGGGTGGGAAATCCTGATTCCAATCAGATGCTGTCTTTCCCCAGGGGCTGGGGCCAGCCCAGCACCATGCACAGCATCCAGGCTTCTGGTGGGGATGGAGGCGGTTCTCATGGGCTATTTTGGTCCTGGGCCCTGGGGAGGGCTGATGGTTCCAACATGCCGATGTCTGGGTAAACAGGGTTCTGAATTCCCATTTGTAAGACACAGACCCCAAGGCAGGCAGCTGGGGCAAAGCAAGAGGCCTGGGGTCTGTCCATGGTGTGCCTTGGGCAGGTCTTCGTTAGCCCTCTCCAGACCTCAGTTTCTTCATCTTTAAAGTGACAACTTGGACTCATTCAGCGAAGTCAGTGAACCATACACAGAATCTCTGCGGACTGCTTACTAGCCAAGAGACCCCCCAGGAGGGTGGCCTTCACTGTGCTTGTGTTCATTTGACTCTGGTTCAGTCCCCACTCACAGCAGAGAGGGCCACAGTTGGACTGAAACCTATGAGCTAGAAAATGTCCAGGTTCCTGTAAGCTCTGAGGCTCTTTGTGCTGTTGCCTAAGCCCCTCCCAGCTCAATATCCCTTGTTCTAGGTTCCCTCCCAGCTCTGACATCCCCTGTTCTCAGGCCCCTCCCAGCTCTGACATTTCCTGTTCTCAGGCCCCTTCCAGCTCTGACATTCCCTGTTCTAGGTTTCCTTCCAGCTCTGACATCCCCTGTTCTCAGGCCCCTCCCAGCTCTGACATCCTTTATTCTAAGGGCTCTCCCAGCTCTGTTACCCTTGGGTTCTATGGAATGCAAAAGGCTAATAGTCTAGTTTTTCTTCCTTCAGCATTTCTTTGCTCAAATATTTAATTATAGGACATGATCTAAGGTTAGTATTAGTATTGGACACCTACTGTGTGCTATGTATATAGGAGGTATAAGTGCCTGTTGGACTGAACAGCTTACAGACACATACCTTGTGGGACCCAGGACTGGAAGCAGGAGCCCAGAGGGGCCAAGTGTGACTGGTGGGGTCTGAGGTCCAGCCCAGCTGAGTTTGGAGACCAAGGCCCTCCCCAGGACTCTGATGGCCACCACACAAGAGGGCCTGAGGGGCTGGCTGTGCTGGGCAGATAGGGCAGGCAGACAGGCCCTCCATGCCCTGACTCCCAGCATCCCTGGGCCTAGCAGGATGGAGGCCAGCACATTCTGTTATTTCACGGAAGAAAAACCAAGAGGGGAAGTAACTGGGCTGGCGCATGTGGGATAGCACCTGGCCTCGAACCCAAGTCTCCTGGCTCGAGGCTCCACTGCACATGGCAGCTTCCAAGGGTTTCAAATGCCAGGCCCTGATGGAGCCATCGCCTGTCTGGAAGCTGAGTCCAGTGGGTCTCTCTGTCTTTGGAGAGAAAAGAAAAAACTCTGACAAGTTCATCCCAGGACAAAGAGGGTTTTTTTTTAACCTCTGTGTGTGTGTGTGTGTGTGTGTGTGTGTGTGTGTGTGTGTTTAATGCCTTCCTGTATAAGTCCTGGTGGGGGAGGGGACTGAGGCCTGCTCTCTCCAAGTCTGGCATGGGGCCCCACTTCTCTTATATTGTCTATCTTGGCTGAACTTGCAGTTCCCGCCACATTCCCTGCCAAGAAGGGGGTGGGGGGAGGGTGCAGGGCGGGGAGAATGCTGGGTCCTTTAAGGATACCGAAACTCAAGCCCTGCTTTGGAATCGGCCCATCCTGGGAAGGCAGTGAAGGAGCCTTTGGAACTCTGAAGTTCCTTTCTCTGCTCTTTGGACTCCAGGGAGGCCAGGCAGCGGATAATGCCGCCTGGGCCCAAAGGCTCAGCTCCTTTCAGCCCCCAGGGACCACCCAGAATCCTAGCTCTGGGGCTTCCCTCCCCACAGCCTGACTGCCACTTGTAGCGGGGCCATGATCACCCCCATTTCAGAAAGGAGAGGGGAAATCATTTGCTCCTGTTGGGTCGCGGTGCTGGGTTTCAAACTGAAGCAGTCAGTCCCTAAGCCTAATTCTCTTGCTTTAAAAAAGAAAACGAAATGGTCTGTTTCTTCTTCTTTTTAAAAAATTTCCCTGCCCCATTCCTCACTTCCCATTCCCACCCCAATCCCAGTTCTCTCCTGTAACCATCGACATTTGGTTGTCCGTGTGCCTGGCCGTGGTGGCCTCCTTCCGCCCGGGTGAGGGGCGTCCACCACTCCGAGTCACATCTGGAGAGTCTGCCCGAGTTTCTCTGAACGCTTCATGGGCTGCCAGATCGTTGGGAGCAGGAGCCATTCACGTTTTGGTCTCTGTGCCTGGCACAGGGTAGGTGCCCAGTAAATGCTGTGTTTACTGACTGATTGATACTCATCATTTCATGAACTTCCCGTGGCTTGCTCGGACCCCGAGGATCAAATACAACTCTGATGTTTTCTGTTTAAAGTCTTTCCTGGAGCGCTGGCTGTCTCGCCTTCCTTTCCAGCTCACCATACATTATTCTTCTCCATTCATTCTAGGGTCCAGCCAGACTCAGGCAGTTCCTGACACCCAATATTTCTTTCCCCATTTCTGTGGGGCAGGGACCCTGCCTGAAATGCTCTGGTCTCCTCATCTCCACTCCTGAGACCCCTTGGCTTGCTTCAAAGCTCAGCTCCAACAGCACCATGCTAAGTGAAGTTTCCCTAGATCCCTCCAGCTCTCTGTCTCTGTCTGTGTCTCTCTGTTTCTGTCTCCCTCTCTCTCTGTGTCTCTCGAGTTAGTAATGGGGCTCTTTCCCCTCTCCTTAGACAAGTACTGCCTCCATGTTAGATCTCACATTTATTTGGTATATATTTTTAAAAACATGTAGCACTTTCTCTGAACCCACTCTTCCAACTCCTATTCATACCGATTGGCTGCCTCCCCACAGGAAGGCTGACTACTTCTCCCCCCAAGGTTCTACGGATAACTAAGGACTTCAGGATTCAATGCCATCTATCTCTCATGGGCCACCACTAGGGTGTTCCTCAGTGTCCTGTAGCTAGATAACAGCTTCTCAATATCAATCGACAAATTAACACAAGTTACTTTCTATAAAGGGATATTAAATGAAAAGGTGTATAAAGGACCAATGTGCAGCAATGCTCCTCTTCCCACACTGGAAAGTACACTCTCCCTTCTACATACCCGCTCAGTCTCCACGAAGTGTGAATTTCAACTTAAGGTGTTGGCTACAAAATATCACTCACCCATTCCCCAAGCCCAGGGACGTTCTTCCTGAGCCAGAGTACTTACCTCCTTTTGCAGAGTCCCTCCCCTGTTTACTCCCATGGCATAGTTGATAGGTGAGGGTTTTTTAGGTCAGCACACAGTAAGCCAACAGGAGAAAGAAAGGATGGTTCAGCTTGCTCTGAAATGGGAGGATGGAAGAGTCCCCTTCATTAGACAAGCCCCGAAACGGGCTCACCAAAACTCCATTTGGATTGTAATCAGGAAAGAAATATTTAGTGTGTGCTAAAGGACCAGGCTCTTCTCTATATGTACATGTTGACTGCTTCAGTAGAGTGTAAGCTCTTTGAGGGCAGGGACTCTTAATTTTTGTCTCTGTAGACCCCAAATCTAGCATGGTGCCTGCCGCTTTATGCACACTTGTTGATTTCTTAAGATATGCTTCTGTTCAGTGATAGTCACGTGCTACAATTCATCCAGCCATTCCTCTCATCAATGGATGCACAGCTTCCTGACAGATCTTTTTATTTAACATTTGGTTTTTTCCCCAATTACATGTAAAACACAAGTTTTAACTCCTTTTTAATTTGGAGTTCCAAATTTTCTCCCTCCCTCCCCTCCCCCCTCAATGAAAAGGCAAGCAATTTGTAAAGGTTATACATGTGGAGTCATGCAAAATATATTTCTATGTTAGTCATGGTGTGAAAGAAAACACAGACCAAAAAAATGAAAAAAATAAAGTAAAACTTAGTATACTTCAATCTGCATTCAGACTCCATCAGTTCTTTCTCTGGTGATGGACAGAACATTTCATCCTTTGGAATTTTTTAAGGTCGTTGTATTGCTGAGAATAGCTATGTCATTCACAGTTGATCATTATACAGTATTGCTGTTACTGTGTACAATGTTCTCCTGGTTCTGCTCACTTCACTTAGCCTCAGTTCATGTAAGTTCTTCTAGGTTTTTTGAAATCATCCTGCTTGTCATTTCTTATAGCACAATAGTATTCTATCACAATCATATACCACAACTTGTTCAGCCATTCCCCCAACTGATGGGCATTCCCTCAATTTCCAATTCTTTGCTACCACAAAAAGTGATGCTATAGATAGTTTTGTACAAATAGGTCCTTTTCTCTTTTTTTAGATCTCTTTGGGATACAGACCTACTAGTGGTACTGCTGGGTCAGAGGGTAGGCAAAGTATTATAGCCCTTTGGGCATACTTCCAAAATGCTCTCCAGAATGGTTGAATCATTTCACAACTCCACCAACAATGCATTAGCATCTCAATTTTCTCACATCCCCTACAACACTAGTCATTTTCCTTTTCTGTCAGATCAGCCAATCTGATAAATGTGAGGTAGCACTTCAGAGTTGTTTTAATTTGCATTTCTCTAAGCAAAAGTGATTTAGAGCATTTTTTTTCTCAGATGACTATAGACAGCTTTGATTTCCTCTGAAAACTGCTTGTTCATATACTTTGGCCAATTGTTAATTGGAAAATGACTTGTATTCTTATAAATTTGACTCAGTTCTCTTTATATTTGAGAAATGAAGCCTTTAATAGAGAAACATACTGTCACATTTCCCCCAGCGTTTTGCTTTCCTTCTAATCTTGGCTGCATTGGTTTTGCATGTGCAAAACCTTTTAAATTTAATGTCATCAAAAGTATCCACTTTACATTATATAAGGCTCTCTATCTCTTCTTCTTTTAGCCATAGATCCAACAGGGAAAGTCTTCCATGCTCCCCTAATTTGCTTATGATATCATCCTTAGTGTTCAAACCATGTACTCAATTTGACCTCATCTTGGTACGTAGTGTGAGATGTTGGTCTATACCTAGTTTCTGCTGTATGGCTTTCCAGTTTTCCAGCAGTTTTTGTCAAATGGTGAGTTCTTGTCCCCAAAATTTGCATCTCTGGATTTATCAAGCATTAGATTACTATGGTCATTACCTACAGTGTATTGTGTTTTCCACTGAGCCTTCACTATATTTCTTAGCCAGTACCAGATTGTTTTGATGATTGCCACTTTATAAGATGAGGCACCTTCCTTCACTTTTTTCCCCATCAATTCTCTTGATATTCTTGACCTTTTGTTCTTCCAGATGAATTTTGTTGTTATTATAACTATAATAATAGTTATAATAAATACAAAATATATTATAAAATAATATATATTTTATAAATATAGATTTATAAAACTTATAAATTTATAAAACTATATTTATAAACTTATAAAACTAAAAAACAATTTTTTGTAGTTTGGCATGGCACTGAAAAAATAAATTAATTTAGGTAGAATTGTCATTTTTGTTATATTTGTTCCATCTACCCATGAACAATTAATATTTTTTATTCAGATTGTTCAGATCTGACTTTATTAGTGTGAAAATTATTTTGCAATTGCATTCATATCATTTTCCTGGGTTCATCTTGACAAATAGACTCCTAAGTATTTTATGTTGTCTGCAATTATTTTAAATGGAATTTCTCTTTCTATCTTGTTCTGTAGGAGTTTGTTGGAAATATATAGAAATGCTGATGATTTATGTGGGTTTATTTTATATCCTGTGACTTTGCTAAAGTTATTAGTTATTTCAACTAATTTTTCAGTTGATTCTCTAAATATGCCATTATGTCATCCGCAAAGAGTGGTAGTTTTGTTTCCTCATTGCCTATTCAAATTCCTTCAGTTTCTTTTTCTTCTCTTATTGCTAAAGTTAGCATTTCTAGTACAATATTGAATAATAGTGGTGATGTGGGCATCCTTGCTTCACCCCTGACCTTCTTTTTCAGCCATGCGATTATACACCATGCTACCTGCAGCTTCCCGGCTGAGGCGGCCTTCCTTCTACTCTACAACCTTGTGTAGACTTAATTCCTTATACATGGGCTTCCCATTCGAATGTAAACACCTTCAGGGCAGAGACTGCATTAGGAGCCTTCCTCTGTGCCCCTGGCATTTAGCACCATCCTGGCACATAGTAAGCCCTTTAAAAGCTGGCTGGCTGCCTGACTCCAGAATAAAGTAAAACCTGCCCCGTGTGGCCCCAGGCTCTCTGTGCCGGACTCCCTCACACACTCCTTGTGCCTCACATGGTGTCCCGTCTTCATGTCTTTGCCCCCACCATCCCCTAGAGTCATCGTGAGCCACAGGCCCTTATGAAAAGGGAAGAAGACAAGAGATTTCACTGAAGTAGAGCCAAGGGAAGGTCAAGCTGGGCTCCCATTTCTCACCTGGCTTTGGGGCTCACGAAAGCTTTCTTTTTAGCAGCTCTGGGAGGCAGAGATCTTGAAAATTCCTGGCCCCATTTGGCAGAGGAGTAAACTGAGGCTCTTCGTGTCAAAGGAACCCGTCCGAGGTTACTCGGTCGGGCAGAGAAGGCAGCACCAGACCTCGGCCAGTCTTGGGTCCAGCGATCACACTCTTTCCCCTCCCATGCTCTGCCTGTCAGAGCGAGGGGAGAGGAACACCGACCTTGACTGTGGAACGTCCAGCAGAATCCCTGCCACGAAATTCAGCGGGATGACAGAGAAGAGAGGCCAGAGGGGACCCAGCAACGGCAAGCAGCTACACGAGGCGGTTCGGGCAGGTCCGCTTGAAGGCAACGTCCACGCTCTAACCAGCTGAGCCCAGAGTTCTGGGCTTCAGTGCCCGTGCGCACGGCTGTTAATCCTGACGGCGGCCACATTTCTCGTACCTGGACGTCATTGCAGAGAAGGAGAAGGTGGGGCGGCAAGGTTCATGGGGCAGATCTTAAAGAAGTCAGGGCAGTGACCCCCGCCCCTGCTCAGCCTTTCTAAAGCCAAATATCCGATTGTGGATTGTCACACGGGGATGCGGCATTTCCTGAGGAGTTCAGCACTGAGGAGGGCTGAGGAGGAAGGGAAGGAGGCTTGTGGGGGGGAGGGAGTGCTGCTCGTTCACACCCCGAGCTAGACCACGGCCAACGGCTGCCCACATGTGAAGGGAGGGGATTCCTTGAGTTCTGGAGAAGCTGTCCCAGAGTAGCTGGGGATGCCTCTCCACTGCTGGAGGTCTTCACGCCTGGGCTGGAAGAGCGTGTTGGAGACAACGCAGGGAGGCTTCTTGTGCAGGGATGGGCTGGATTGTGCCTGAGATCCCATGCAACTCAGATATTCTGTGACTCTGGGAGAGATGAGGCAGGCTGTTCCCAGCCGCCAAAGTGGATCTGGGGGACACTTGATCACTCACAAAGGGAATAAGGATAGATCCCTGAAGGACAAATAGCAGCAGGGACGTGGAAAGCATGCAGTACAGGTCTTGGCCCCAGATTCAGAATGTGGACACAGCTGTCCTGCTGCCCCACTGCTCCCTCCCCCTTCATGACCTCCTGGGTGCACAGAGATTGGACCAGGCAGAGTCCCCCCACCCTGGGAGAGGGGAGGACCTGCTGGAACCCAGACTTTACCTGTCTGCTGCCATGGTGACGGGAACACACAGCCGCTGGGGAACAGGTGGTGAGCATTAGCCAGGAAGCCTGGCCTCAGCCCCTCTCCCTGGCCTCCCAGCCCAGGGCTCACCAAGCCTCAGGACAGAGAGCTCCTAGTGACAAGGCAGGAGGATGTGTGTGTGTGTGTGTGTGTGTGTGTGTGTGTGTGTGTGTATGGGTATGTGTGTTGTGAGTGTGTAAGTGTATATGTGTATGTATGGGGGGTGTGTTTGTGAGTCTGTGAATGTGTGTGAGAATGTGTGTATGTGTGTACGTATGTGTATGGTTGTGTATGTGAGTGTATATGAGTGTGTATGTGTGTATGTATCAGGGTGTGTGTTTGTGAGTCTGTGAGTGTGGTGAGAATGTGTGTGTGTGTATGGGTATGTGTGAGTGTGAGTGTGTATGTTTGTGAGTGTGTATGTGAGCATGAGTGTGTATGTGTGTATGAATGGGTGTGTGTGGGAATGTGTGTGAGTGTGTGTTGGGGGGGAAGGTGGCACAGAGTCGAACTGAGACTGACTGAGGAAGAAAAGAATTCTGTTGAATTCAAAAGACATTTCTTAAGTGCCTACTGTGTGCCAGGCACCGAGGGTGCAAAGCCAAAATACACAGAGTCCCTGCCCTTGGGGAGCTTACATCCTACTCTGGGGAGGGTGTAGGGCAGAATAAAATTTGCACAGGGGCCAGAGGAGAATGCTTGCTGAGAGGGGTCATCAGACTAGAAGGCTGGTGACCTTGGGGAAGGATGGAATGTGTGTCTCTTGTATCCCCAGTGTTCAGTACAGAGCCCAGCACATAGTAGGCAGTTCATAAATGCTCTCTAATTCACAGATTGTACCTAGTTTTATTCCTTAGGGCTAATCTCTCTTCCATATAACATCTCTTCAGATGTTTGAAGGTAGCTTGGTGCTCCAGGCATCAGGACCAGCATAGCAAAGGCATAGAGGTAGGAAACCATGCCAGGAGGATGACAAGGGGAATGGAGACACTGCTATGTAGGGCATTTTTGCTGAGGTAGCTTTGGGCTGGATGCCTTCTTTTACTTCTATGATTTTGTGGGGAAAGACTGGCTGGTGCTCCCTCACCTTGGTACATGTGGGAGCCAAGTCTTCAGACTTCTGCCCTTTGCAGCATCCCAGGTACCACTACCTGCAGTGGGGTGGAGGTGGTGAGGGGTGGGCTGGTATCTTCTCCCTGCCCCCACACCCTATTTTCCTGATTATGGGAGAAGGGCAGACAATGTTGTGGGCTGGCCCTTGTCTGGCCCATTCCAGTGTAACACAGCCTCCTGGGGTACATAGGTGATTAATCCCTAGACCCTGGGGCAGGCCTCCTGACTCTGCCCGGTGGCACTGGGGCCGCTTTCACAGTGGCTGGTAGGTCAGTGTTTTTCTGTGATGACTGAGGATGCTTGTCTGGCCCCAAGACCCAAGCACTCAATAGCTGGTTAAGCATTTCCTTTATGCCTGGAAACTAAGGGAGGTATAAATGAAGTAGCCCCTGCCCTCCAGGGGCTCACCTTCTGTTGGCAAACAGATCATTAGTATACCTCAAATGAACACGAGGTTAGTGTTGAGAGAGGAAGAGAGAGGGAAGGAGGGAGTGACTGAGGGAGAAAGGGAAGGACTGAGGGAGGAAGGAAGAAAGGAGGGACCAAGGCAGGGTGGAAGGGAGAGAGAAAGGAAGAGAGGGAAGGTGCCAGCAGTTGGGGGGGAGCGTCAGGGTCAGGCTCAGCTGCAGAGCCCAGAGACCACCAGCAGGTGGCAGCAGAATGGAATAATTGGGATTACCAAGATGAGTGTGGGGGGTGGAACTGAAGATCTCTGCTCCTCTTGAGGGTCCCAGACCCTCCTGCTTGTGGCACCAGGAGCCCTCCAGGCAGGGTCATTCAGGAGGCAAAGCATGCCTGCAGTGAACCCCCTGCACATCTGTCCACATTCGAACACGGACCCTCTTTTCCCTTTCACTAGGATGCTCGCCTGCTCTGAATAAATTCAATGATTTATCTCCAATTCCCCAGTACTTGAAGGCTTACAAAATATGTTCCCTGCAAATATTCTCATTCCTGTTTTGGAAAGGAAGAAGCTGAGGCCCAGAGGCAGGAAGTGACCTAGAAGCTCATAAACCAAAGAGAAACAGTAAAATCTGCTGTTTTTCTAGCCCTTCGATGGTCAAGAAGGGTGACCCAGAGAGGACAAGGGGCTGGACCACAATTGTCAACAACTATTAAGCACCTCCTGTATACCAGGCACTGTGCTAAGTTCTGGGGATACAAAAAAGGGTTAAAGCTGGGCTGCCCTCAAGGAGCTGCCAGGTTAATGGGGGAGACAAATCACCATGAATGGGACTCTGTGCCTAGTTTGCAAATCTGTGCAAGACAAATTGGAGATAACAGGCAGAAGGCACCAGTGTTGGGGGGGAATCTGGAAAGGGGGATCTTCTTGTAGAAGGGGAGACTTGAGCAGAGACAAGATGAGGATCAAGAGGATTCTGGGTATGGGGGAGGTCATCCAGAGAAAAGCCTCTTATAAGGGGTGGGGAGGGGGGTCACTTACAAGGAGCCTGGAAAGGTGTGTGTGTGTGTGTGTGTGTGTGTGTGTGTGTGTGTGTGTGTGTGTGTGTGTGTGTATGTGTGTGTGTGCAGGTTATAAAGGGCTTTGAATGTCAAACACAAAATATTTCTATTTCTACTGAGGAGGGGAGATGATAGGGTTGGACCTCCACTTTAGGAAAATCTCTGACAACAGAGTGAAGGGTAGTCTGGAGCATAGAGGACCTGGAGTCTGTAAGACTTGAGACCAAATCAAGCTTCAGCCACTTAGCTTAGTTGTGTGACCTTGGGCAAGCCACTTAAGCACTGTCTGCCTCAGTTTCTTCATCTGTAAAATGGGGATAATAATGGCACTTACCTCCCTGGGTTATTGTGAGGAGCAAATGAGACAATGTTTGTAAACGTACAAACAAACCTTAAAGCTCCATATAAATGCTAACCATTCTTCTTATTGATTATGTCATAGCTCCTGGCAAGGTATTATGGGAGTGGATTAACCAAAAACAGTTATCTACTGCTAGTTGATTACTAGGCCATTCTTCACCTCAGTTCTTACCTAGCCTTAAATCACTGAATGGGTGCTGCCTCAGACAAACTGAGATCTGGGAAAGACCTTAGCTTAAAAAGGCCAAGGTCCCCCACTGCATCCGGGCCATCACCAGTCATCCGGACCTATGTCTCGCCACTAGACCCAGATGGCTCTGGATGAGAGAGTGAGGCTGGTGAAGCATGGCCCTGCCTCACTTAAATGCAATTCACTCTCAAGTCAATGCATCACCTTCCTGACGTCACAATCTGCTTTGAGAATGAAGGACAGACAACAACAATTTATATCGTATTTAGATTATTTAATATATTTTATTAATATGATATCATTATATTAATATTTTAAATAGTTGTTTATTATTGTTGTTATTGGCTGAGCTAGTCTCAGTAGGTTTGGTTGGGAGGAGACAGATATGCTGAGTGCTTTAGACTCTGGATTGGGTGGGATCTGCTATTGAGATGTAAGAGGCTGCTGGGGAGAGCGGGGCATAGAGGGAATCTTGACCCTGCTGGGGAGAGAGTTCATTTCCAGTCTCAGCTCAGCTACTTCCTACTTATGTGATCTGGGCCAATCCTTTATCTGGGACTCAGTTTCCCCATCTGTAAAATGAGTGTGGTCCTACTTGCACTTTCTCAACTGACATGTGCTGAGGAAATAAGGGATAGTCCCCCATATTCTCTGCTCACTTACATTACTATTATTTAAAGTGAGATTTATTGAAACTTTTGTTTTTAAATCACTATCATTCCCAAAAGCTGCCTCTTCTTGATCCTACCTCCACCCCACCACATAGGTAGCTCCGTGTATAGAAAGCTGGGCTTGGTCAGAAAGACCTCAGTTCACATCTGGCCGCAGGCAGTTGTGTGATGCTGGGAAAGTGACTGACCCTCCATTTGCCTTGGTTTCCCCATCTGTAAAATGGGAGTAAAAGCAGCACCTAGCCCCCCCCCCCATGGTGCTCAAGGAGGCAGGAGGTGAATCATCAAGGCTTCTTGACAAGGCGACATGAGCGAAGCTGGGCACGGACCAGTCACATTCCACAAAGGGCTCTCTGTACTTGACTCCTTGCTCTGTCACAGAGGGCTGGCTTGGCAGCTTAGAAATGAGGCCCACTTCATGACCATGGACCAGGCCTGTCCCCTCTCCAGGCTTTGGTGTCCTATCTGTCAAGCAAAAAGGTTGGGCTACTTTATATCTAGGAGTCCTTCTAGCTCCCTTGTTCTGGACTCTAAATAGAATCTTGGCTAGAATGATGTATAAGGTCAGCAAAGCCAACCCCGACCCCCAGCATAATTTCCCCATTCTAAGGTCCCTCCCAGCCCTGACCTTCCCTGTTCTAAGCTCCTTCCTAGACCTGACATTATCTGTTCTAAGCTCCCTCCTAGTTTTGCCATTCCCTGTTCTAATGGCCCTCCTACCTCTCTTCTAAGGTACCCTTAATTTCTGATATTCTTTGTTCTAAAGTTCCTTTGGACTCTGACATTTCACCTTGTACATTCTAGGGCTCTTCCTGGGGTTAACATTTCATGTTCTGTGTTCTAGGTCCCCTCCCAGCCCTGATTCTTTGTCCTAATCACGTCTGAACCTCTCTCAGGTACAAAGACAAAAAGTCTTGGCCCTTTCTCTAGGTTGGGCCTAGAGGTGACATTTCTTTGTGAGGCACAAGAAGGAGGCTTGCCATAGAGCTGAAGGGGCTCCCCTCATGGACCCCCTGGGCCAGCTGCAGCCTCAGACCCCACCTGGCCCCTCTGAGGAGCCTTCTTCAGGGTGAGTGTGCAGGGCTCCTCTGTAGCTGGTGTGCATCAGACCTAGCCTGGAGTGGAAGGGCAGCTGTCCCACCAGCCAGCCATGAAACCCAATCCTAGATGGGTCCAGCAGTCAGCCATTCCAGCCCGCCTCTCGGCTGGCCCCAGAGTTGCATGACCTCATCAAAATGGGCTCGAAAGCCCCAGAGCCTGGTTGGGGAGGGGTCACCACCTGGACGGCTGAGGGCTGAACTTTCCTCCTTCCTGATGAGTGGATCCTCCTGGGGCCTGGTGGAGAACCAGATGTATCAGGTTTGCAGCCCCCTTCCCAAAGTGAGGGAAGGACAGCACCCTTCCACACTCAGGCCCTGCTGGAGAGAAGTGGTGGATGATCTCATCTGGACTGAGTTCCACAAGGCCCTGGGTGATGTAATCCTGATGCTCCATCTCCAAAGGCTCCCCCCTTCCTGGATGGCTCTTGGCTCCTGTTCCTGATTCGTGGCCTTCCCCAGAGGACTTCAGGGCAGCGCCCCCTGCTCCGAGGCCTGGGGCTCACCCTGGGAGAGGCTAGGGACAAGGATCCTGACCACTCTCTCCACAGCAGTCAGAGCAGGAGACTCTCTGAGGCAGCAAGAGTGAGGGGCCCGGGTGAGCAGCCGGGTCTACAGGGGATCCACTGGGGAGGGGCCAGGGAGAGTCAGAGACAAGACTCACACTGCTGCCAAGCCTGGGGAGGGAGAGCTCAGAGCACTGACCATTCATGGAGAAGGCTCAGGTAGGCCTAGCATCTGCCCAGAGTCACAGCCAGGAAGTATAGGGAGGGGGAATTAGAATGCAGATCTCCTGGTACTTTTTCTGACAGAGCAGATGACCTCTAAGGCCCCTTCTAGCTCTGGCTTGTCATCTGCTCCCGCAATGATGACAAAGAGCCCAGACATGGAGTGAGGACCCTCCTGTTCATGATCCACTCCGGCTGGGCTGAGTCATGTCCCCACATCTGTAAAATGGGATGAAACTACCTATATCACACAATTGCTTTCTAAGGCTGTGGTTCAAGCTGTTGCGCTGGCTGGTCTGGACTCCAGAGGATGCCCTGAAGGGCTAATGAATGTCTCAGTTGTTTAGGAGCCAGAAGGAAAAATGGACCTATGAGAGAAAGTGGGTAAGTGATCCCAGTGGCTAACGGCAAAACACAAAATAGGAAGCTGGAGGCTGGAACATTCCAAGATTGCTTAAAGGAAGTGAGCATGTTTGGCTCAAGAAGAACTGCCTGGAGGGAGCGGCGGGGGGGGGGGGGGGGGGGGGGGGGGGTGGCGGGCAGCTAGTGCTTGTCTATGAAGAGTCTTTGAAGCTCTGTCACAGGGACAGGGCATTAGCCGGGTTCTGCTGGCCCTGAATGGGGCACACGGCTCCAGAGGGGCATAAGAACTGTCTTCAAGTCTTTGGGAGGCTGTCCTGGGGAAGAGGGACTAACTGCCTTTGTTCTTGGCTCGGCAGGAGTAATGGGGGGGGGGGGCTGGGATTCGCAGAGAGGAAGACCCCCACCACCACACAAGGAATAACGTCCTGGCCGTGAAAGCCTCGGAAGAAGGAAGGGGCGGCCTCAGTCCTCCGTGGTAGGTTCTTCGCTACGGGAGGTCTTCGAGTTAAGGCTTGGGGGCGTGGCAGAGGCCATTTGTACTCGAGGGTGGCTGAACTCGACGGAAAGGTGGTCTGGAACTATGAATGGGATGCTGGGACATGGGTCAAGGGGGCTTCCGTTGACTTCTGAATCCTCATCGGAAAGCTGGGAAGTCACACTCTGAACACCTCATCTAGGGGGTTGCCCTAAGGCCCAAATGAGACACCTCGAGAGCTCATCGGCCCTCGTTGCTAGGATGAGCCATTCATCCGAATATAATCACGAGTCATCCCTTCGGACTCCGGGATCTCGTGATTCCTGTGGGACGTGCTCACCCACCTGCTCTCCGTCCAGAACTCTAGCGCTCAGGGCTATGGGAGCCTGGGACAGCAGAAATCCCTCACTCAGAACCGGCCACCTTTCATCTGGCAATCAGACAGGAGCTGGACCAAGCCCCGGCAAGTCACAGGCTGGTTCGATGGCCGCCTGGGGCACCGCAGAGCCCGCAATGCTGAGTCATGGCACCTCCGCCAAAGCCCCAGAGGAAGGAGTCAGAGCCTGTAGCAGCTGTGGGACTGCACACAGGTCACCGTCCCTCCCTCTCGAACTAGACGTGTTCTTCCTGCCCCGCCCTCAGCACCAATGGTGGAGGAGAAGGGGGGAAATGGAGTTGCACTCAAGCATATTTTGGGTCAGTGCAATAACAAATAACGAGAGCGACCCCAAGTGGAATAGGCTGCCTGTGGAGGAAGGGAGGCAGGGGAAGCAGCTCCTGACTGACATCTGGACCAGACAGTCTCAAGGTTTGTCTTCATTTTAGGTCTCCTGGGTTCTAATCTCTACCTTCTAGGTATTCTTGATGACACTGTAGTTTTAGGTAGTTTCAAACCTGGTTGGCTTGTTGGATTTCATGGCCTGATATCAACTTCCAGGAAAGTCTACAGTGGAGTGCCCTAGGGACCTATCCTGGAGTCTGTACTGTTCATCATTTTAATTTCTACTTGGATGAAGACTCAGAAAAAACAAGTTTCCAAAATTTGAAGGTGACACTGAATTGGGAGGGACAGATGATACATTAGATGGTACTTAGGAACCCAAAAAAAGCTAGAATGATGGGAGTGAAGCTAATAAAATGATGTCAAACAGAAACAAATGTAAATTCCTGCACTTGGGCTCAAATAATCAACTTCACACATGAGATGGGAGAGATAGCTGTTCATATGATAAAACGATCTGGGGTTGTTGGAAATGTCAAGCTCAATTTGCATGAGCAGTCTGATCCATCAGCCTGGAGATTTCCAAGGCTCAGGGTTAGTTCCCAGAAAAATGATGAAGCTGTCAAAATTTTTCTCTGTTCCTCCTGGTTTCTCACCTCCCAGCCCAGCCCAGCCCAGCCCAGCCTCAGCCTCAGCCTCGCTGGGCTCCTACTTCCACCAGACCCCATGCCATGTTGGTATTGACCCAGTGGTGTCTACCCTCGAGTCTGGTCTGGCCATTCAACCACATTATTGTGAGCCCACATCTCACCCTGGGAGTTTCCTATGAGCTCACCTGGAACGGCGTCAGACACTTTAGCACAAGTCCTCAATCTAATCAAACTCTGTCCACAGCATCTTCAGGGCCTAACATGTAGCAATCATCTAAAAATGCTTGTTGAATTGAATTGCACTGGATTGCCTACCATGTCCTTTTGGACTCACAGGGAGCCTACAGTCAACTTATATGCCCAGCTCTGATTCAAATGCTTGGTTGTCTTGAGTGGGATGTTCCTGGTCTCCCAGATTCCTAGAGTACTTGTTGGCCCTGGGATGTGGACCCCTCAATAATTAGGACTGGTAAGGAGGTTACTACCTAGGAGAGGCAAGCCAAGGAGAATGCCCTTTTACCCTGAAGCAGGCAGTCCCATGTACCAGCAGATGGCTCCCAACCATTGCTGGCCATCACTGCCCAAGTCCAGGCATCTCTTTGGAGCACTTAGAGCCCTACTGTTCCTTACTCTGGCCTTGATTTGTGCAGGAGGCATCCATCAGGTCTAAATCCACAGGGAAATACTCTCCTTTTCTTATGGGGTGATTGCCAGGATCTTGTATTTGACATAGCTGTGATAGAGCATGAATCTCTGAAAGACCAGGGTCCAATTGCTGGGGGGCTCTGCTGGTTTTGGTAGACATCCAGAGCACTGTGGTATAGTGGAAAGACCTTTGGACTGTGAGTCAGGAGACCCTGCTTTGAGTTCTGGCTTTGGCAGTTAGGTGGTACAGTGGTTAGAGTGCCTGGCCTGGAGTCAGGAAGACCTGAGTTTAAATCTGACCTCAGACACTTCCTAGCTGAGTGACCCTAGGCAAGTCACTTCACCCTGTTTGCCTCAGTTTTCTCATCTGTAAAATGAGCTGGAGAAGGAAATGGCAAGCCACTGCAGTATCTCTGCCAACAAAACCCCCAATAGGGTCACAGAGGGTTGGGTGCAACTGAAAAATGACTGAATAACAAAATCACAGGAACTTTTTGAGAGCAGGGTCTGGGGCCTATTGATATTTATGTGTCAAGTGGTTGTGATTGGAGGACAGGCTGATCTACTATGGGTTGGACAAAAAATGTTTTGTGGGAACATTTGGAGTGAAAATTTGTGCATCTCATGTTTCTTCTGAGCTACTGCCATTCTGCCTGGCTCATAGAGCACAGCGCCTTCTTTGATGCAGGCATGCCATGCTAGGTGGTCCTGTGCCAGTGTCTCCCACATCTCAAATTTGATTCCAAAGTTCTGCAGAAAGACCTTGGGGGTGCCCTTGCACCACCTCACAAGCATGGGAAGACCTCCCACCAATGAATCGGGAGGATGAGAACAGTTTGTCCAATGGCCGTGAAAGCAGTTGAAGCAGGCACTGTGAAGTGCTTAGAGTTTGGTTGGACATTGAAGCTGTGAAAGCATCCACCACACCCTGGGCCATGGACAGTCATCCTGGCTTTGTCTTGCCACTGGACTTTGATGACTCAGGAAAAGAGAATGAGGCTGATGACTTGTCACAGCTCTCTCACTTAAATCCAATCCACACACAAGTCCAGGCATCAGCCATCATCCACTATTTTATGGTCTTTTACTTTACTATCTTACTGTTTTACTATTTTACCACCTTGAAGTCCTGTGGTGATGGGTGAGTGACCAAGCAGCAGGTGCAGAGACGCTGGGAGCTCTAGTCACAACCCTGCACACAGGTGGCCTGGGTCATAGGGCTGTCTTCTTACCAGACAGAAGCAACAGTGGGATTTGGAAGCCCCCCTGGGTGTTTAAGTAGCCTTTTAAAAAAAATAATATTTTATTTCCCCCAATTATATGGTGAAACAATTTTTAACATTCGTTGTTTTTTTTTCTTGTGTTGAGTTCCAAATTCTCTCTCTCCCTTTCTCCCCTTTCCCTTCCCTGCGAAGGTAAGCAATCTGATAAAGATTATACATGTGCAATGATGTAAAACATTTCCATACTAGTCATTTTGTGCAAGAAGACAAAGAAAGAAAGGGAGGGAGGGAGAGAAATATGCTTCAGTCTTTGTTCAGACAATATCCGTTCTTTCTCTGGAAGCAGATAGCATTTTTCATCATGAGTCCTTTGGGACTGTCTTGGATCATTGTTTGAGAATATTTATTGTTGTTGAGAATGTGTCTTCTTGAATCATGTGTTGTTGAGAATAGCTGAGTCATTCACAGTTCTTTATCATATGATATTACTGTTACTGTGTTCACTGTTCTCCTGGTTCTGCTCACTTCATTTTGTATCAATTCATGCAAGTCCTTCCAGATTTTTCTGACAGCATCCTGCTCATTGCTTTTTTTTTAAATATAAATTTATTTATTTTTAGTTTTCAACATTCACTTCCACAAGTTTTTGAATTCCAAATTTTCACCCCATCTCCCCCCTCCCCCCACCCCAAGATGGCATGCTTTCTGAATATCCCTTCCCCTAGTCTGTGCTCTCTTCTATCTCTCTCCCCTTCTCTTATCCCCTTCCCCTTCTATTTTCCTGTAGGGCAGGATAGACTTCTGTATCCCATTTCCTGTATTTCTTATTTCCCAGTAGCATGTGAAAACATTTTTTAAAACATATGTTTTTAAAACTTTAGGTTTCAAATTTTCTCTCTTCCTTCCTCCCTACGCACCCTCATTGAAAAGGCAAGCAACTCAATATAGGTTGTATATGTGCAGCTATGCAAAATGTGCAGGACGTGCAAAACACGTCCATAGTAGACATGTTGTGAAAAACTAACTCTATTTCCCTTAATCTTATCCTGCCCTCCCATTTATTCTATTCTTTCTTTTGACCCTGTCCCTCCTCAGAAGTATTTACTTCTGATTACCCCCTTTCCCAATCTGCCCTACTCTCTATCATCCCCCTGCTCTCTTCTCCCCTTCTCCCCCTATTTTCCTGTAGGGTAAGAACTGCTCATTGTTTCTTATAGCACATTAATATTCCATCGCAATCATATATTACAGTTTGTTCAGCCATTCCCCAATTGATGGGCATCCCCTCCATTTCCAATTCTTAGCCACCACAAAAAGAATTGCTGTAAATATTTTGTACAAAAGAGTTTTTTTTCCCTTTAAAAAAATACCTTTGTGATACAGACCTAGTAGTGGTATTGCTGGATCACAGGGTGTGCACAATTTTATAGCCTTTTGGGCATAGTTCCAAATTGCACTCCAGAATAGCTGGATCAGTTCACAACTCCACCAACAATGTATTAGTGTTCCAATTTTCCCACATCCCCTCCAACATTTATAATTTTCCCTTTTTGTCATATTAGCCAATCTGATAGGTGTGAGGTGGTGCCTCAGAGTTGTTTTAATTTGCATTTCTCTGATCAGTAGTGATTTAAAGCACTTTTTATGTGACTATAGATAACTTTGATTTCTTCATTTGAAAACTGCCTGTTCATCTCCTTTGACTATTTGTCAATTGGGGAATAACTTGTATTCTTATAAATTTCACCCAGTTCTCTATATATTTGAGAAATGAGGCCTTTATCGAGAGACTTGCTGTAAAAATCTCACCCCAGTTTTCTATTTTCCTTCTAATCTCATTGTATTGGTTTTGTTTGTACAAAAACTTTAATTTTATATAATCTAAATTATCCATTTTATATTTTGTAATGCTCTCTATACCTTGTTTGGTCCTAAATTCTTCCCTTGTCCATAGATCTGACAGTTAAACTATGCTGTGCTCTCCTAATTTGCTGATGGTATCACTATTTATATCGAAATCATGTACCCATTTTGACCTTATCTTCATATATGGTGTAAGATGTTGGTCTATACCTAATTTCTGTCATACTGTTTTCCAGTTTTCCCAGCAGTTTGTGTCAAATAATAAGGTTTGTCCCCAAAGCTGGGGTCTTTGGGTTTATCAAACACTGAATCACTCTGATCATTTATTTTAATGTATTGTGTGCCTAATCCATTCCACTGATCCTCCGCTCTATTTCTTAGTACCAGATTGTTCTGATAATTGCCACTGAGTAGTCTGTTTTTAAGGACTGCACTGCTCACCTCCTGACATGAGGAAGGGTCTAGGAAAAGTGCCTTAAATATTGTCTGCTTCACCCAATCCTGGACTGATTACCTCAGCAGTCAGGGATCCCATCCTGAAGTCAAAACACAAAAACATGTACATTTTTTTTACAGAGTTTACCAAGAGGAAAGTTTGTTGGTCACTAAGAAAGCAGCCTTTAAAAACTCCATCAGAAGTAAAGTGTGATTGAAGCTTAGGCAGATGCAGAATTCTTGGCTTGGTAAGAAGGCTGATAAAATTCAGTTTTATGCTGGTAGTAACAATCCAAAGCACCTTGATGACACCCCGAAGGCTATCGGTAGGCCAAAGGCCTATGGTGCATCTCAAGTACTCAGCACCGATGGAGTCACCCTGATCAGTGATAAGGACATGATCCTGGAGATGGGCTGATCACTTCCATAGTCTTCTCAACAGAACCTCATCAGCCAATGCTGAAGCCACCTCAGGTTGATGGCAGTTCCTCTCTAGCTGAACTTCCAACTGAAGGAGAGGGTCTGGATGCCATTTGCTTCCTCTCCTGTACCAAAGTACCTGGTGCTGGCTCTGTTCCAGCTGAGATTTGCAAGGTGAGGGTCCATGGCTCATAGGGAAGCTGACATTCCCCAACTGATAAATGGTCAAAGGATATGAACAGGCAGTTCTCAGAGGAAGAAACCAAAGCTATCTGTAGTCATATGAAAAAATGTCCTAAATCACTATTGATTAGAAAAATGCACATCAAAATAATTCTGAGGTACTACCTCACACCTATTAAATTGTCTAATGTGACAAAACGGGACAATGATAAACGTTGGAGAAGATGTGGTAAAATTGGAACACTAATGCATCGTTAGTGGAATTGTGAACTGACCCAACCATTCTGGAGAGCAATTTGGAACTGTGCCCAAAGGGCTATAAAATGTGCATATTCTTTGACCCAGCAATAGCACTTCTAGGACTGTATCCCAAAGAGATCATACAAATGGGAAAAGGACCCACATGTACAAAAATATTTATAGCAGCTCCTTTTGTGGTGGCAAAGAATTGGAAATGGAGGGGATGCCCATCAATTGGGGAATGACTGAACAAGTGGTAATGAATGTAATGGAATATTATTGTGCTATAAGAAATGATGAACAGGCTGACTTCAGAAAAACCTGGAAAGACTTGTGTGGTCTGATGCTGAGTGAAGTGAGCAGAACCAGGAGAACATTATACACAGTAACAGCCACATTTTGTGATGACTGATATTGATAGACTTAACACTTCCCAGCAATACAAGGATCTAAGACATCTCCAAATGCCTCATAATGGAAAATGCTATCCACATCCAGAGAAAGAACTATGGAGTCAGAACACAGATGGAAGCAGACTATTTGCTCTCCTTTTCCTTTGTTGTTTTGTTTTATTACTTCATTCTTGTGGTTGCTCCCATTACTTCTAATTGTTTTTTACATCATGACCAATGTGAAAATATGCTTTAAAAAAAAGAGAAAAGGTGACTGAAATCTTCGGGGTCATATGGCAAGGGGAGGTTATCTCCCAGGAGATCAAGAATGCCTCTGTGGTCCATCTCTATACCCAGCCGGTGTAGGAATTAAAATGAGGCAGACGAGGTGCAGCCTCAAAGAGACAGCTGGTGATTGTAGAATCTGAGGTTGTTGGTTTGTGGAATCTCTGAGTGGGCAAACCAGAGACTTGGAGGACACTCAGGTGTCCCCCAGCCCCAACCTTTCATTCTGCTTATAGATGAGGAGACTGAAGCTCAGTCAGAAGGGCCAAGTTCTCGAGGCCCAGGACACACCCTCCTGGTCCAATATTCTGTCCTCCTCTCCACAGACTTCCAAGCCGATGACTTCTCTTGGGCCTCTTTCTTCTGAGCCAGCAGGGTTGCTAGAGCCTGGGGCTGGAGGTGACTGGGCTGAGCCTCATTTCCTTCTCTACAAAATAAGGAGTGTGAATGAAATGATTTCTACAGATCTTTCTACTCCTACTGGCCTAGGAACCAGTGAACAAGCATTTATTAGATGCCCATTGTATGCCAGGCGCTGTTGTAGGTACTAGGGATAGAGACAAAACTGAATCAGCCCTTTTCCATGAAAAGTCTGTGTCCCATCAGAGGAGAGAACATGCACACATATAAATGGATGTAAAATATATTAAAAAATAAATACAAGGTAACTTAGTGGGTGGAAGAGCATGGGGAGAGTCAGGAAAAGTCTTATGTAGAAGGTGGAAGGAATCTAGGGATTCCAAGAAGCAGAGAGATGAGGAGGGAGGACATTCCATGCATGGGGGACAGCCAAAGGAAAGGCCTGAAGTGGGAGATGGGGAATTGTGTGCTGTACAGGAGGTGAAAAGGGAAAGGTATGACATGGCTGGAAAGGCAGATGGGATCCAGGTTGTGCTGGGCTCTAGACGCCAGAGTTTTTGCTTGATCCCAGAGGTGCTAGGGATCCCCTGGAGTTCATGGAGCACAGGCATGATGTGGTCACCCTGCGTTGGAGGAAAACCATTTTGGCCACATCTGGTTCAGAGCCAGCAAGTACACCAGTACCCAGGGGAAGATGATGAAAGTTTGTGGGAATCCAGGCCACAAGACAGGGCTCAGATTGGGGAGGGCCCCAGTTGTCCAGCCTGCTGCTTCATATTCCCTTCCCTGCCTGAACTCCTCCATGAGGCCAGAGCCCTGGAATGGTCAGGCCTGGCCCAGCCCAGCCCTGCGCATGCCCAGCATTGCTTAACCAGTGGCATGGAATGAACCAAAGAGACTGACCTGCAGGCCAATGGGCCTTAGGGCCTCTCCTGGCTCTCCTTGGAAAAAGACAAATCCCCACCCACTGAGGAGAGCACTGTGATCTTGGCTTGGAAAGTGTGGGCATTTCTCTGCAGGCCTGAATGCTTTCTCCTCCTGTGAAATGAGGGGGTTGGGCTCCACATTTTCTGAGGCTCCTTCCGGCTTTGACATTTGATGACTCTATGGCTGTGTGACCTTGGAGAAGGTGCCACGCCTCTCTGGGCCTGATTCATTCTCTGGAAAACATGGGGGTTGGAGAGATCCCTCCCATCCCTGCCAATGTGTGGTTCCTTCTAGGATAGGGAAGGGGCAGGGTGGATCCCACACTGAGCCTCTATCCTCCTGAGCTCCCCCTGTTCCTGAAAAACACCCGGAAATTCCTGCCTTCCTGGCTGGGCTGGGCTGGTCTGGGCCAGCTGCCATTGCCCAGCATGGCCAAGGCAGGGCGGGGAGCAACTGAGCATCCGTAGCAGCAGCAGCAGCAGCAGCAGCAGCAGCAGCAGCAGCAGCAGGGAAGGGGAGGAAGGTCCTTGCCCAGTCTCGGCAGCCACTGAGCACTACAATTCCCAGCATGCCCCGGACTGCCACTAGACCACAACGCCCGGCATGCTTAGGAATTGTCTTAACCCATTCCTCACGCCAGGTGTTCTGCTGATGTCCTGGATTCTCTTTACCTCCTGGGATGACTAGACAGTCCTCTCAGAGGGGCAGAGCAGATCTTTGAGGGGCAGGGAAGCTCTTAGGGAGTGAGAGCAGGCAGGCTCTGTAAAGTCCTGCTTACCTTGGTATTGGTCTAGGCTGAGCTCGGCCACTGACTTGCTGTGTGACTTTGGGAAAATCCTTTTCTCTCTCTGAGTTTCAATTTTCCTTTCTGTAAAATGAAGGAGTTTTGGGAAAACAATCTAAAATGAAGGAGTTTTGGGAAAACAATCTCTCAGACCCCTCCAGCTCCGAAATTCTAGTTTCCCCCAACTTCTTAAAATTGATAACTTGAAAAAACTCTTAAGAAGACAAATTCCCTGAAGTGTTTTCTCTGGAATAATCTAAAGGAATCTCTTCTTCAAGTAGGATTACAGCCCATCTTTCCATTGTTCCCCTCCACACCCTCTTCGTGTCAGCCAAACTGGACTAATTCTCTTTATCCCATCTCCCATCTCAGGGCCTTTGCATAGGCCATCCAATCAGTACCTCATCTCTGGCTCTCAGAATCCCTATTGTTTCTATAACAATGACTTGATTAGTAATGACTTGGTTAAAGGGAGAGATGGCACCCTCATCAAATTTGTGGATGACCCAAAGATAGGAGAGGCAGCAGATGCTGGATGACAAAGATCTTGACAGAGGACTAAGGTGACATTTAATATAAAGTCTTATACTTGGGTCCCCCCTCCCAGCCTTCAAAAGTACAAGATAGGGGGAGACAGAAGTTCATCTGATGAAGATCCAGGAGTTCTATGAGCTTGATAGGAACCAACAATGTCACATAGCAGCCAGGTAAGCTAAGGTGCTCTTAGGCTTAACCAAGAGAGGTACAGTATCCAAGACTAGGACGGCCATTGCCCCACTGTCCCCTGCCCTTCTCCCCGCCCATCTAGAGCAGTGAGCTCCTCTCTTTGGCATTTGCTGTTGTTTAACAGTTTTCAGTCCTGTTCAACTCTTTGGCTTAGTAAGATGGCGGCCGTCTAAGTTAGGGCTTTGAATTCCTGCCATATGAGGAATGGGCAAAGGCATTGGAGGTGTTTAATCCAAAGAAAAGAAGATGGGGGTGGCGTGGGGCTGGCATGAGAGTGATCATTAAGAATTTGAGGGGCTGTTACTATGATGCAGGAATTTACTTTGTTCATCATCAACAAATCATTTTTTAAATTGTTTGTCTACATCTTTTTTTTTTTTTGTCAAACTGCTTTCCAGTTTTGCAGTAAATAGTGAGTCTTCTTAATAATTTGTGTTACTGGATTCATTGAACTCTAGGCTACTGCTCACACTGTTTTTTTGGTCTTCCTTACTTAGCAAGTCTGTTACAATAAGCTCAATCTCTGTCTCTCTGTCTTTCTCTGTCTGTCTGTCTGTCTGTCTCTCTCTTCCTCTCTCTGTCTTTCTTCCCCTCCCTTCTCTTTGTCTTTCCCTCTCTCCCCCTAACTTTGTCTCTCTCTGTTTCATCTCTGTCTTTCTGTGTCTCTCTTCTTCTCTCTCCATCCCCCTGTCTCTTTCTCTGTCTCTCTTTGTCTCTCTTTTTTTGGGGGAGGGGCTAGGGTTAATAGAAATAGAAGTCATTTGAAATAGAATCAATGATAGGTGCTTCATAACATAGTTTGAGATGGAGATGAGGGAGGTGGTGGCTTCCTTCTCATTTCCTTCTCTCTGTGGTTGGTTTCCCGCTGCTAAAGCTGCTTTGTCTCTGTTTTTCATTTGCCTCTATGAGGACTGTTGTGGCCCCACTCCTAGTGTGGTACAAAAGCTGCATGAGGGCAGGGATTTGCTTGTTTCTGCATCCTCAGCACCTGGGACAGTGCCCGGCCAGCTCAGTGCGTATTGATTGAATGACGTTTGTTTAGTTGTAGATGCCACATTTTAGGAAGAAACTAAAAACATGGGAACGTGTCAGGACAGGGAGAAGACTTTGGACACTAGGCCACACAAGGGTCAGTAGAAGGAATTGGGCAGCTTGGCCTGGGAGGAAAGATCTCGGGAGTAACGGAGAGCCGTGCTCCAGTATCCAGAGGGCCAGAATGTGAAAGAAGGGTCAGCCTCGTTCCTCGTGGCCCCAGAGGCCAGATCTAGGAGCAGAGGTGTGGGAGGGGATGCTGTGCAGAGGCCGATTTGGGCCGGATATCAGGAAAAGCTTCTTGGTAATTAGAGATGTCTCACCGTGGCTGGG